CGGCTTTCGCCAATCGCGAAGAGACAGTAAATCTTATTTTATATATATTAGTAATTATTTACCCTTTAGGTCGAATATCTGTTTCTTGATTAATACTTAAACAGGATGATGATGTACTTATATTTCTTTGTCGATTTAATGGTTTTGATTGTATGACCGTATCTGAATTAATCGATGCTGTATCTATCATTTATATAATTCATATTTTCGATTATATAAGAAAGATAATTATTTACCAGAGTCAAATGTTTTTACTTGTTGTGAATGGATTATAGAATCATCATGACGTAGTTTTAACATAAGATCAGTAATATATCGATAAAATATCGTACTTTGTAAAAATTGAGGAAAATATTCCTAATAAAGTAAAAATGTAGTTTTTTTGTTTATAACTTTTCATAACTTACACGTTGTAATATAATATAAACAATCCAACTTGCTTGATCAAATGTATCAATAGATGGACCCGCATTAAGATCTGGTTGACAAATACTACATTCAATCTTTGCACGAATAACATCATCAAAACCTAATCTTAATGGTGCTTGCAACGAAATATATCTATTTTTTAATAGAAAATCATATTTAAAAACGAAAAATTGAAAATTTTTAACTAACTGTTCATAAATAGATAATGCATTTTGTGTTAATTCTTGATTATTAAGTTGTCTATTGATAATATTTTGATAAAAATCTTCTACATCAATCCAGAATCGAATAAGATTAATTATTTTTTCTTGTTCAGCAAACTAGATTAACTAATTTCATTTTATAATGCAAAAAACAAATTTTCATTTTTTTCTAACCTTCATCAAATATGATAATGAATTATTATGATATAAAAAATCATGCAATTGCAGTTCATCACTTGTTAACATTTTCAATTGATAATTTAAATGAAAACTACTTTCTAAATAACTTGGATATGCACTAGAATAAAAAACATAAATATTTTTTTATCAATTAAAATTTAAACAACTTTTGTTCAATTAATTCCCATATATGTTCACGTGCCATATGAAAACAATTTGAATCTGGCTTATTATTATTATTTGATGGACATATTAATACTATAGAAATTCGAATATAATTAGAATTTTAATTTAAGAAAAATAATTTTACAAAGAGTTGTTCGTCGTATTTCATCATTGATTGGAACAATATATTTTGCATCGATTGATAAATATCTATGAAATAATGTTAATGCGATTGTTTGATGATCATCATTGGAATTTTCTCGAAGTATTTTCTCAAATGTATTTATATCAAGTATAAATTTTATATAAGATAATAATGAACATGAATCCATATAATGTATAAAATAATCAAGTTCATCATTCGGTGTATAAATAAGATTGTACAGAGAACGATGAAAATGAGAATGACGAAGAGAAACAAGTTCAGATGATATCGTACAATGACCTAAAAATGTGATGAAGGAAGGATAAAGAAAAAAGAATATTTTTCTTTTTATACCTGATTGCATAGCTAAATCTTGATAATAAGACCATTGTTGTACACTAGAAAATGTTTTTGAATCACTTTTATTATACTTGCGAATTTTTTCTATAAAAGATTTTAATAAACGAAAAGAAATAAGTATAATTTTCAAAAAAAAATCTCACCTTTATTACTATTATGAAATGAACGAAAGAAAGACATAATTATTATTTACATCTAATATTTGAAAACTAAAAGAAATACGATTATTATCTATTGTGGTTATTTATGACTCATATTATACTTAGATTCGTGTATTGTTAGTATTACTATATCTTCTTTATTCTAACAGAGGGTGTTAGATGTTAGACACAAATAAGAAAGTAAAATTTATGTTGTATGACCTTTTTATTCTAAAGAATTGAATATAACATGAAATAGTATCAAATAAATTTTATTAATCGAAAGAAAATGATTATTTTAAAAGTTAGAACACAACTAGTTGCTCCAATAACATATTTCTTTTTGAATCAATACCATACATAACAAAAATACGATTATCTATAGATTATATATATACAATTATTAAGTAGAATATTTATTAGTGTAATTATATACCAAGAATTTCAGCACATAGATCATGTCGTGCTTGTTTCATATAATTTATTGTGTTCAAGTTCAGTACAACCATCGATTGCATACAATAAATCTAATTCTGTAACTACATATATTTGAAAAGATATAAAATCTATATATTAAACATAACAATTCAATTCAATTTTTTAGTTAAAACTACATTGAAATGAAAATTCCAAATTGATTTATATTTCAGTATGAAACTAAAGATGGAAGTAAATATGAATATTAATATTCAGTTTTCAACATTCAGCTGAATTAAATGTCTTAATCAAATTAAAAAAAAGAGACAAAACTTAATTTAATACAATTTTTACATGAATCACGGCGATTAAGTTTTATTAACAATATGAAAGATCAATACATTGAAATATTTTTATAAAATTTTCATCATTAACAATATTTCGTTTGTATTGAAATAAAATACCATCAGAAAATCAAAATAAAATATTTAGTTGAGTTTTGAATTCTAATATATATATATTCAATAATCAAGTAAATAAAATTATTAAAATATTAATCATTAAATTTCATATTTTATCAAAATTTTTTATTTGATAAATATTACGAAAACTTAATAATACAAAAGACAGATTAGTTTATTAAGTTTTTATGAGAAAAAAATAAGAAAGTTTCTTTTATGTAATTTCTATTGTATAATAACAGAATGATAAATGTCATTTATAATATTTTAATGAATAAATATGGTTTTAGTTACTCAAATTTTTCATATTCTACTTTATAGTATCCAACTGTACAAAAAAAATAGTTCCTATCATATAATTGTATCTTTTTTATCTTTGATTAATCACATTTATATTTTGTTTACTTAACTCATATTGAAAGTAAAATAAGAGAAAAGATACATCATTTCTATTAGAAATATTTTATTAACTAATTCTAATATTTGCATTTTTATAGAAATTCATCTTGAAAAATAAATTAAATTTAGAAAATGCAAGAATAATAAACAAGAGCTAATTTTGTATTAATCAATTTTATGAAATTAAAATGACTTCTTTTGTTATTCAAAAGTTTTTGTGTTTACTAATTGTTGATTTTCTCTGTGTAGATTAGTTTTTTAAATTTATTCAATGATTAAATTATTTAATAAAATTTTACATACAGACAAATTCATTTTAAAACTAAAAGCGAACAATAGAAGACTTGATATAAATAATGTATTATTTTTAATAAAAATTATATTTTATTAGAAATATTACATATACATAATTGTTCATAAATGGAAATGTATTTTGGATTTCAAATGATATGAAATACAAAATAAGTATTAACAATAATAATAGAATATTCACTATATTGAAATACATATGCATGTATTTTATAATCGTAATTAAACATTCTTTCCTTATATAACTTTATACAATTTATAACATAAAAAATATACTTTAACCTTGATACTTTTAAAATAAAAATATAGAGAGTACCCAGCATTCACGTCATCGAAGGTAAATAAGAAAAGAAAAAATATGATAAAAGAAATAATAAATCATCGAAATTATCATAATATAAAACGAAGCAATAATATGTGAAATAAAATAAACGATGAATAATATCTATTCAGATTGTATTAAATATAAAATGTATTCAAAACGAAAAATCTATACAGATATTTCATTTATTTTTGCAATAACAAAATATCGATTGTATTCAACTTGTTTAAATATCTTTTTTTATTTGAATTAATTTAGAAGAAATAAAAAAGTAATATAAAGATAAATATGAGAGATTTATTAATTGATCATAATTACATATGCAATTTATAATAATACTATAAGATATCTCGTATTTGTTTTTTTCTTTATTTTTGTAATATATTTTTGATTTGATCAAAATACAACGGTATTCGATAATAGGCATGGTTTGTGTCAGTTATGATTGATTATTCTCTTTCATGTAAACTTATAGGAAACGAATAATAATGAATGAATAGACATATTAGGAATGATAGGAATTAAACAGTCATTGGACCATAATACAACAATACATGACAAGTAAAGTAAAAACATGAATATGAATACATTGTTACTTGAAAAAAATATTTGCAACTAAAGAGAGATGTATTTTTATGACAATTTAATATTTAATACGTAATAGTTAGTTAAAATACCTTTCGATATAAATTTTCTTTTTTAAAAACTATAAGAATTATGTATATTTTTAGAGTTATATAATAAGAAATGTTACTATGACTTTAATAGATTTCAAAAGATTTCTTATTAAATAATAACAAATGTTTTCGAAAAAAACAATATTCATTTTTCTCTTTTGATTTTTGATTTGTTCGAGTAAAAAAATTATATCATAGATGCTTATATCTAGAAAATGATTTTAAACGTCAATATGAAAGGTATTTTTTATGAGAAAAATTTCTTATCTTACTCGATGACTTAAAAAGTATGCTTCATGGTTCGATAGACATAATTACTTCACCTTTAATCAGTATGCAACTTTTTGCGTTGTTTTATATATTTCTTTTTTCATAAACTAAATACATTTTATTCTTATCATTATTTATTTATTTTATTTTATTAGTTAACTTTATCATTCAATTTTGTTATTAACATATAATTTTATACTTGTTTGCTATTATATATCTGTATTTTTTTTCTAATATTTGTATAAAATATTATACATATACATCGAGATAATAAGGTAAATATTAAATAGTAACTAATGTCTATATTAATAAAGAATTTTTAGTTTTATGAAGTTTTCTCTTCGTCAACAAATATAACGAGGGAAAATAGTAAAAATGACTTCAATAACTAGAAGATAGAGATGATTAATTAAAATATTAGTATTATAATTATGAAATGAAAAAAATATATAATAAATTGTGTCAGTTTGATTTCATTTAAATGATAAATCTTCATGAAACTATATTTTTTTTATAGATTAAAATGACTTCTATGGATATTGAGATGTTACCATTAGAACATCAAATTGATCAAATATCTTCTGATATCAATTCAAGAAGAACTACAAACTCAATTCAGGACCAACATCCTGTCGGAACTATTGTCGATGATCTCGACGAGGTCAATGGGACTCCATCGAATAAGTATGTCTAATTTATTTCATTTTCATGTATAATTAACATTTATCATCATTAGGCCGGATCATCGTCAGCATAAGCTGAATTCCAAGAAAGTAGTCTTCATGTTTGTTATGTTCACACTCATATCAATGATCATTGGCATTTTTATAGTTTGTTTTTCATCACCGAAGCCCTTAGGTATGATATACATCTCTCATATTCAGTCAATCATATTCACTTACATTCTTCTCACAGAAAAGAACTTTCATTATAGAAATAAAATAGTTTTAAAGCTCTACTACTAAAATTATTTCAATATACTTGAAGTCAACGAAAATTATTATATTTCATTTCATATTATATCTTTTATATCGTTTAGGTAAAACATGTACGTTTATTTTGAAATCAGAAGCTCCCAGTTTAATTACCAGTGATTCTCATCCGCATTCTATTGCTGTTGCTGATTTTAATAATGATAATCTGCCTGATATTGTTGTTCCTTATTCTGGCACAAATAGTTTAGGAATATTTCTTCGACAGGACAACACTACCTTTAAAGATCAAATCACATATTCAACTGGTATTGGTTCACTTCCATATGCTGTCTGTGTTGGTGATTTCAATCATGATCAACAAATAGATATAGCTGTAGCTAATTATGGCGCCAATAATATTGGTATTTTTCTTGCAAAAGGTAATGGTACTTTCATGTCACAAATTACTTTTTCTACTGGCTCATCTCGTCCACTGTGGATTGCTGTTGGTGATATGAACAATGATAAACAACTTGATATAGTCGTTGCAAATTATGGTACTAATGATATAGGCATTCTTTTTGGAGATGGTCTTGGAAATTTTGGAAAGCAAAAAACATTTTCAACTGGTTATGATTCTGTTCCATATTCACTTGCTATTTCTGATCTTAACAATGATGAGAAACTTGATATTATTGTTGCAAATCATGGCATTGACAATGTTGGTATATTTTTAGGACATGGAACTGGTATATTTGAAAGCCAGTTCATAATTAGTACTGGATATAAATCTCAACCTTATTCAGTTGCTATTGATGATTTAAATAATGATACTTATATGGATATTGTAGTTGCTTGTGCTGGTTTAAATACAATCGATGTCCTCCTAGGCGTTGGAAATGGTTGTTTCACAATACCATACAAATATTCCACTAACAATAATTCATTTCCATTATCGATAGTAATTGGTGATTTTGATAATGATAGTCAACTTGATATTGCTGTAGCAAACTATAACAATAAAAGTGTGGGCGTATTTTTTGGATATGGAAATGGATTTTTTAGAGATCAACTGATATTCTTTAGTGTTACTTACAATTTTAATCCATATGCCATTGCTGCTGGTGATTTCAATAGTGATAATCGATTAGATATTGCTGTCGTCAATTACGATTACAACTATGTTGATATTGTTTTGACATATCGAAATTATACTTTCTTAAATCAAAATACATATTCAACAGGCATTCAAAGCTATCCGAGTTCAGTCGCTGTTGCTGACGTTAATAATGATAAGAAACTGGATATTGTCGTCGCTAATTATGGAACAAATAATATTGATATATTTCTTGGTTATGACAATAATACTTTCTCACCTGAAATAACTTATTCAACTGGCAACTATTCTCGACCATATTCAGTTACTATTGGTGATTTTAATAATGATAAGCAACTGGATATTGTCGTTACCATTTCTGGAACAAACAATATTGGTATATTTCTTAATTATGGTAATGGTATTTTCTCAAGCCAAATTACCTATTCGACTGGCAATGGCTCTAGCCCAAGTGATGTTGCTGCGGGTGACTTTAATAATGATGGACAACTTGATGTCGCCGTTGTTAACTATGATGGTTGCAATATAGGTATATTTCTGGGATATGGGAATGGTACTTTTTCCAGCCAAAAGACTTTTCCCACTGGGAACCGATCTAACCCCCAATCTATTGCTCTTGGTGATTTTAACAATGACAGTCGATTAGATATAGCTGTCGCCAATTATGGAAGAGCTAATATGGGCGTATTTCTTGGGTATGGCAACGGTACTTTTGCAGATCAAATCTCCTATTTCGTTCCACTTGGCACTAGTCCATCTGATATTGCTATCGGTGATGTGAATAATGATAATCACCAAGATATAATAGTTACTGTCGATTACAGTTATACTATTCTTATTTTCCTTGGATCCGGTAATGGAATATTTGTCAAAGGAAATTCATATTCTACTGGTAGTGGTTCTCAACCAGTATCAATTGCTGTTGGTGACGTAAACAATGACAATCAACTAGACATCATCGTATCTAATTGTGACACTAACAATGTCGTAGTATTTATTGGGGAAGGTGATGGAACGTATCTTAATCAAGGAAGTTATTCAACTGGTGACAATTCTTGTCCAACTTGGGTCGTTCTTGCTGACATTAATAATGATAACATTCTTGATATTGTCGTCGCCGATAATGGCACGAATATGATAGGTGTTTTTCTCGGATATTCTTATATAACTGGTATACTTGAAGATACATATTTAACCGGATCTTCTCCACATCCACATGGTTTAGCTCTTGGTGATTTCAATCGTGATGGTCAATTAGATATCGCCATAGCAAATTATGGTTTAAATAATGTAGGAGTACTTTTAGGACATACAAATGGAACATTTCCATTACAAACAGTATTTTCCACCGGTGACTTATCATTTCCAACTTCAGTTGCCGTTAATGATTTGAATAATGATAATGAATTAGATATTATTGTGGCTAATTCTGCAACTGAAAATGTCGGCATCCTTTATGGGTATGGAAATGGTAGTTTTGCAAATTTAGACCTGTATTCAACTGGAGTTGGTTCTATTCCACAAGCAGTAGCTACTGGTGATTTCAACAATGATAAGAAACTTGATATTGCTATTGTTGACTCTGGCACTAATAGGGTAGTAACACTTATCAAGTACGATACTGGAAGTTTTCAAAAGCAAATACCATTTTCCACAAGCTTAGGTTCAGCTCCACGAGCAGTAGCTGTTGCTGATTTAAACAACGATGAGTGGTTAGATTTCGTGTCAGGCAATTCAGGCATTGACAATGTGGGTGTTTTTCTAGGACTAGGCAATGGTATATTTTCCAATCAAACAACATATTCGACTGGAATGCGCTCGTTGCCAATTGCGATTAGTATTGCTGATTTGAACAATGACAGTTATTTGGATATGGTTGTCGCCAATGCATGGGGTGACAATGTAGGTATTCTTTTTGGATATGGTGATGGTACGTTTACAAATCAGACGACTTTTGATACTGGCTATAATTCCGGTCCATGTGGAGTCATCCTTGCAGATTTTAACAATGATAGTCGATTAGATATTGCCGTCGCTCTTCAATTCACTGGTGCAATGGGTGTTTTTTTAGGACACGGGAATGGTAATTTTTCTTCTATAGTTATCTATGCAATTGACAGTGAAGCTTCTCCAGTATCAACTGCCACTGGTGATTTTAACAACGACAATCGATTAGATATTGTCGTGTCCAATTTTGATCTTGGTAGTATAAGTATTTTTTATGGAAATGGTGATGGTACTTTTTCCAATCTAATTAGCTATACAACTGGCAGTGGTTCACAACCAGCATGGGTCGTCGTCAGTGATTTAAATAATGATGCTATATTAGATATTGCAGTTTCCAATTTCGGTACAGACAATATTGGCGTGTTTTTTGGAAATATGAATCATAGTTTTTATGACCAAGTAACATTTTCAACTGGTATTGGTTCTGCTCCGAATGCATTAGTCGTTGAGGACTTTAATAATGATAATCAACTGGATATCGCCTTTGTCAATTTCGGTACCAATTATTTAGGTGTTCTTCTTCAATGTATTAATGGTACTTTTTTTGATCCATTGACCTATTCAACAGGTGAGAATTCTCAGCCATATAATCTTGCAGTGGGTGATTTTAACAATGACAAACGTCTCGATATTATCGTCGCCAATCTTGATACAGATAATATAAGTATGTTTTTCGGATATGTTAATGAAAGTTTTCTAAATGCACCAGCTTATTCCACTGGATCTTCTTCTCAAGTGACTTCCATAGCTGTTGGAGATTTTAACAATGACACTCGATTAGATGTTGTTATCACTAATAATGCTACAAACAATGTTAAAGTTATATTTGGATCAGGCTATGGTACTTTTGTCAATGATATAACATATTCAACTGGTAATGATTCTCAACCATGTTCAGTTAGTGTTGCTGATTTAAATAATGACAATCAATTAGATTTTGTTGTTGCAAATTCTGGTATTAATACCATTAGTATTTTTCTTAGTAATGGTACCGGCACATTTTCAAACCAAATCACTTATTCTACTGGTGTTAGTTCTCAACCATATTCAGTTGTTATTCTTGATTTTAATAACGATACCCGATTAGATATTGCTGTTGCTAGTTATGGAACTAGTCATATCGGTGTATATTTCGGTTATGGTAATGGAAGTTTTATGAATCAACAGGTATTCTCTAGTGGTTTTAATTCACATCCATTTGCACTTGCTGTTGGTGATATAGACAATAATAATTTAACTGATATTATTGCAACTAACAATGGATATGGTAATATTGATATTCTTATGAAAACTTGCTAACATGACATTTTTCATTTATATCTATACTTTTTTTAAACTATATAATATTTTTTTAATAGTTCTTCTAATGTTCTTTCTGTAGTTTGAAACTGACTTTTTTTTACAGTGTATTTTTATTAAATTCTTTTGTTTACTTAAAATTGTTTACTATGTCCAAAGAGATTGAACATTTAATATAGTAGAGATTTTCTGTAAGATTTAGATCCACACAAATATGATTGTAGTAATGACAGATTCTT